TTTTTTTTTTTTTTTTTTTTTTTTTTTTTTTAATTAGGAGTATGTAGCATGTGTTTTTTTTAAATTACTTTTATACTTTTAATAAGATTGTTCCTGAATGAGACGCTTGAGTTCATGGTGGGACAATGAAACTGAAATTCTGTACCTTGTGTAAGACGCTCGCTTTCTGCCACGCTTAAACATTTGACTATGGATTGCCTACTCCATTTGATGTATCCAAAAGCTATATAGTATAATCCTGAGTGTGATACTATATAGTCATCATGTATTGTATCAGTCCAGGTTCAGAAATGTGTGGTTGGCCAGTCGCAAATAGTTTTGTTTCACCTATAAACTGTACCACCTCTACAGGTGTGTGTAACTTTGAGATGTATAACATGTTTACAGATGTGCCCGACATCTAGTCCTCTGACGTTCCTATTTTTAATTCTGTTGAGTCTCCCAACTGCTTGCCAAAAGTTGGAATCGCCTCCAGCTCTGCTGCTGAAGAGCTGGGGCGTTCCTGAGCTTTAAAGTGTTGAACAAACTGGATGGTGGGGCTGGGAAAATGAAGATGGAAGAAATGTTCTTTTTCCTTTATTATTATTATTATTGTTATTTTCAGAAAATTGAAGGCTAATAGCGAAATTTCCAGTTTGTTTTACTGGCTTTAAGGCTCTGCTGTGTATTTATTTGCCTTGTGTAGTCACTTGTCGCCTTAAGGGCTGGGTTCCATTAAAAAAAAAAAAAAAAGAAAAAAAAGACAAAAACACCCTGTTTTGCTTCCCTGGGGTCTGTGCTGTCCTGTACCCCTGCCCCAGGTCCATGCTTGGGGCGATGCAGGAGTTGAGCAGCACTAACCCTGCACCTCTAGAAAGGTCTGAGTCTTGCTGAATATTTGAGGACTCTCATCTTGGCCTAGTCCAGTCTGTCACCTAAATAGCAAAAGAAATGCTGAGAGAAACACGGTTCCAGCGATGGCTTGGGCTGGATTTCCCCCGATGCTCATCTCTGTGGCTTTGCCTCGCCAGCAGGACCCATCCAGAAACACCCTCGGCAGCACCTTCTCTGCTGTATTTCTGACCATCCTCTGTTCAGATGTCTGTCTGTCTGTCTGTCTCCATGAGCTCCACGGCGTGTGCTCAGCGCTAAGCAGTTAGGAATTCCTCTCTCTGAGCTCCTGTAGCTCCGGCTCCCTGGTATTTCTGGGATAGACTATTGCCTAGAGCCAGGCAGGACCATGGAAGGAACTTCCTCGTGCTGTCGTGTAACTCACCCCGTCGCTGTCTGCAGTCCTCCCCAAGTCCTCACACAATTCTTAACTGAGCACTTATTAAAAATATCTTAAGATTTAGTCTGTTTTCTGATTATTTTTGTGTAAACTTATAAAAAAAAAAAAAGAAAAAAAAAACCAAACTGAAATTGAGCTGTGACTAATTTAGCACATTGAAATAACGATAAGGTGTTACTGATAAGTCTCACGTTTTGTTTTGTTTTGTTTGACTCAGAGTATTAGTACTGTAGCATAAACCAAATAGAGCCCAGGAAGGGGAGCAGCAGCCCCCTGTCCTGGGTCTGCACCCGAGGGTGTCTGTGGGGGTGAGGAGCCGGCGGGGTGTGTGCGAGCATCTGGCTTGTGAGCAGGGCGAGCATGTATTTCTTTGTGCCATTGTTTTCATTACACCGAGTAAAGAAAGTTTTAAAACAGAACCCCCTAAGTACGTGTAGTATCGGAAAGCGGCACTAAGGGTGAGATCATGACCTATTTTTTTATTAGCTATGAAGATATTAATTCAGGTTAAGGCTTCTCTCTTGTTTCTGTTCCTGTTGTGAGTCCCTTTTCTCTGGTTCCCTTTCCAAGCTGTTTATTGAAGTGAGGATTCCTGCACAGGCAGGGGCTGTCTCCTTTCTCCTCTGGTCATTCCCCATCTCTCCTCCTCTGCCAGCAGGTTCTTTTGGTGTCTCTTTTACAGGGTCTTGTGTAATAGAGACTGGAGCATGTAGTGCCAGCCAGGTCCAGCTTGGGATCTGCTTTTTGGTGGATCAGGGAGTGTTCTGTGTGCTCCAAGAAGTGATGTCACAGCTCCTCCATCACAGTGGTTTGGGGCCTTCAGTCTCTGCTCTCTCCCACTTCACCCATTTGGTGGATTGGCAAAGCAATGGCTTTCAAGCTTTGCTTGGAGTTTGGTTTTGGTTTAAACCCACCTCGATCCCTCTGTAAAACCTGGTGGAAATCTCCTGTCTCTTTGACCAGTGAGTAGCTCCAGGGCGTGGATTCTGTCACTAACCCACTTCAAACCTTTCTGAGCTAGTAAATCCCACTTCTTGCCTTTCATAGCTGCTGTGAACTTCTTTGAAATGTGGAAAGAAACCCAATTCTCACTAGGTTGTGAGTCCGGTGGCTGGGAGCAGGTGATGGGTGAACCAGCCAGCTAAAAAGGAAAGGAAAATTGCTTCCTGCTAGGAAAAAAAGAGAGCTGGAAGTTGTGCTCCCAGTTGTGTGTGTAATTAGTGCTTTCACCTTCAAGAGAGCGTTATGGTAGCACCATAGTGTCCTTTCCCAAGTGGCCAGTGGGTGACCTCA